TTCACTTGAAACACAACCAATCAGTTTCCTGTCAATGCAACACCCCGCTTTATACGCAGGGCAGCGAAGAGCAAAAATGTAAAAAAAAAAAAACGTGCATCCGTTCCACCTACGAAGATTATCTATATATTTATACATACATAGACATGGTATGGTAAATATATATATATATATGTGAAGAGGACAGAGTACTTTGTAGATTGACATTTCACTTGAAACACAACCAATCAGTTTCCTGTCAATGCATAATGCAACACCCCGTTTTTAACGCACTGGCCAGATGAAAGTTGCGCTTCTTGACATTGAAACTCATGACAACCCTATCCCCCTAGAATCCTACACCATGAGACAAGGGAAGGTGTGGGCGGTCATTTGTCACCCCGGAAAGCCTTTCTTTATTATCAAATCTAAAACGGTGTGATAATTGACCGTCCCACACCTGCCACGAAAATCAGACTTGTTAATTCGATCCGCCGCTGACCTCAGAGTGTTTTGTAAGAAGACTAACAAGCGTAAACTTTTGTCTGCCCGAAGTATATACACTTCAAACTGACTCGCCACATCGCTAAAATTTGCTAAAATCTCATATCATAAGTCCCGTCCCCCCTAAAATATGGAAAGTTGCTGGCCTGAAAAACCTGAAAAGTGATTTCGTCAAGTGACTGCACCCTTTCTGGACACCTTTCGGACTGGCTTCCTTTCTGTTCAACGCTGGACTTTCCAAAAAAGCCGTGTGGACATGTGTGGACCAGGTCCGCAGAGGACTTGTGGATAACGGAAAGTTCGGGGCCTCTTCTCCACATAGCTCACCAGCCACTCAATGGCCAAACCACGCAAGCCAGACTCGCAGGCCTGGCATGGAAGCAAACCAATGTGCGAAACATGGGGTATGAGGATGTGTGAGGTGTTGCTGGTCGAATTCAGCAGCCCCGAATTATGGTTTTAGGTTGCTGGTCAAACCAAATGACACAAAATGGCTAAAACGGTGGTCCACCACCCGCACTGAGCCAAACCACTGGGAGCGTCCCCGAGTCTCGTCGTCTGCGCCCCACCACTGACGCCAAACCACCGCCTCTCGCGTCCGGGCGACGGTCGCCATGAACTTGGCGGGCTCCAAGTTCTGCGCCAGCTGTGCCTGCCACGCGCTGCCGCACTCTCTCGTTCATTCGGGGTCGGCTGAGGACGCGACGCTAAAAACCGGTCGGGTTCAGGATGTGTTCTTAAGCAAAAAGCAAGGCTCCACTTTGATCCAATAAGTTGCTTTGATCCAATAAATGGTCAAACAGTCCATGGACTCTTCGGGCCTTGAAGAAGTCCGGCTCGACAGTTGCAACATCGGTGAAGGCCTACCACAATCCCCACGGAGAGATGGTTGTGGCTCGAACCATGTTCCGCCGCCAACAATGCTGTTCATTCACTCATCTCACGAGTGAGCGAGCGAGTGGGGCTATGGTGGGGAGCATGAAGTGAAAGGAATGCAGGCCACATGAAGTGAACAGATTCAGCAATCCACAAAACACCAGCAGATTGCCTACTAGAGTTCATAAAGTCAAGAACTTCCCTTCTAGCAGAAGTTCCACCGATGGAGCCCAAGTCGCCTGAATGCATTCTTGCAGCAAATCCTCCTCTTTGGCTTGTGCCAGTGCGGTCAGGACCTCAGTCAGAGGGTCAGTGACTAGTCGAATCCATCTCGAATGACGCTCCTGGTGCCATTCAAATGAGGTTGCTGAGGGTGGGAGGGGTCAGACTCGCCGATGGCTGGGGACTCGGGAATCCTTTCGAAAAAACGGCAGGTGTTGGTTTCGTGTGTGTGTCTTCTTGGTGGCCCAAAAAACAAAAACTGGAGCCAAAAAGACCTGCTCTCCCCCCCACGAACGCCTGTGGTAGACATGTCCCGCCCATGTGGTGGTCGACTAACCTGCAGAATCTCTTCATGTCGCGGCGTCGAAATCTGGTAGCGACCGTTCTGCGACAAACCTGGCACCGTTCTGAACAAAAGGAAAGTCAGTCAGAAGGACCGGAGGATGACCTAAGAATTGTCCAACCAGCTGAACTGTCCAACAATTTCACCAATCTCTCACAACCACGATCACACCAATGAGCAAGAGCATCTCAGCAAGTCTGGGAAGCATGAAGTCTCACAACGAGAAAATATTGTTTTCCTCTTTAGTCTTCCGACAATCGTGCTTCTTTCGCGGGGCCATATGTCATATGGAAAGTCATCATGTCATGTCATCTCACAATCATGTCCTTTTTGTATAGAGGGGTCCATTTCAAACCGCATATCTATTTGTTCACTTGGGGAGATCCCCTCTAATTATTAATCAACCAACCAATAGTATAAGGCCATCAACTCACCAACCGGGTTCGTTGATTGAAATGCAAACGATTTAGTGTGACACTCCGAGTCACCAATAGACGAAGTGGAAAACCACCTGTTTGTAGTGGAAAACCGCGTCATCCACGGGCTATTCGACTTACTGAGCCATTCTGAGCCGCACAGTGATGCTCTTTCATCTGCAAGTGATGCTCTTTCTGTCCCTGGAGTTTGGAAGGATCTTAGAGGACATGATGGGTCCTGGAAAAGGTTGCTAGCACAGCAACGAAGATCGAGATTACAAAATATTTCGTGCATCTTTGCACTTGACCTGCCGCGAAATCGAGAATTCAGCAGCTTCGGCCGAAGCAGAATCTCAGTGCAACATAGTGCAACGAGGGTGTATAGCGGTATAGCGCTAAAAACAACACCCAACTGTCCAACTTGTGAGACTTTAGGCATCGCTCGTCACGGGGCATGGCTAGGCTCCTTGTAAGGTATCTCGCATCGGGTTGTTGCTGCCATGCCAAGACCTGGACAATGTCGATGCGTGGGTGGCGACCGGGGGGCCAGTGGCAAAAAAAAAACAGCATTGCCACGGTCAGCACGTGCCTCTTCTGCCCAGAGCTATAGCCCTTACCTTTCCCCTTGTCGCGTCCCCATCTCCCTGGCAGAAGGAGGAAGATAGCCGCTGCATGGCAGACACCAGAGTTGCACGTTAAAGCTTGAGAGTCCTAAGCAACGTGACAACGCAAACGCCCTGACACGCACTGCAACTGCAAAGGCACCTCTCTTACCTTCCGGCCCGTTGTTCGTGCCTTCCTGGCCACAACACAGAGCCAAATAGCATGGACATGCATGGACAATGCTTTCAACCCTTCCCTTCCATACATGCTTTGAAAAGCCTCTTTGTCCCGTCCATCCACCATCGCGGTCAACACATGCACACCACACAGGCCCACACCGTGCCTCTCGTGCCGGCTGAAAAGTCAGCACGGTCTGTGTCTGGACTTTTCGCCCATCACCCCGGAGCCAGTGATTCACATACTCCCGGTGGGGGTCCTGGAGCCCAAAAACCACGGGTCTCCCGTCGTTCCGTCGTTCCGAACAGCCGCGGGAGCACGACCATCACGTCGGGACCCATCACCAGGTCGCCTACAGCTTCCTCCGCCGCCGGCGACCCGACTCTGAGGGTGGGCGACCGATGCCAAATGTGACTGATTCAACAAGCGACCGGTGCAGTCAGGCAGCATAGTCTTGCAGCTGCTTCCTGCCAGCTGATGGGAGCTTGCAACAAAAAAATACAAAAAAGGAGACCTCCAGGGTCTTCGGAAGACCAAACGAAATCAGGGACCAGGCCCTGTTGGCCCACAAAAACACACCCCAACGCTCCACACAGAACGCCGCACCTCGTGTTGAACTTGTTGATCCGCTGTCCTGTGAGGCCCGCAGCAGCCACCTGGCGGTCTATGGCCATCGCCGAGAGAACGCCCCACCCCGGGATCGCGCTAGCCTGGTTTCCAAATCATCGAAGCGGTGCCCGGCGGTGCCCGGCGGTGCCCTGGTCTTTGCGGCCTTTTTGTTGCTGGGACTGAGGTGTTCACGCTGCGATGCTCCCTCTGTGTAGGGAGCTGTTCATGCAGCGTTCGTCCCTTCAGTGTGGTTCGGTGGTTGATGCTACACATCTCTCACTGGATCAAATCATCACGTTCAAAAACCCACGGTCTTGTGACAATAACATGCGCCGGGGACCCAATTCCCCCAGTTGGAGCAGGGATCATAGTCCAAGAGCAGCTCCTCAAAGTGGGCTGCACCATGACGCCAATCCACACCCAGGTCAAAGATCAGAAAACTAGCCTTAGAGACTGCATGTGTCTGCTGGAACAGCTGCTACTTCTAGGGTCAATTTACGACAGCCGTTACCTGCTGACGTGTATGTTTAGAATTGGTGTCCAAGTCTTCTCAATGTCCCTCAATGTCCCTCAATCGTGAAATCGTTTGCCTAGCTGCGACATTTTGTCTGCCACGATTGCTCATAAAGCCTGTGGCCTTCAGCTCACGCATGTTGGCATCCACCAGCTGGTCGCCAGTTGTTCCTTCCTTCCACCTGTGGCAGGGTCGACACTATCTAGATTCCTAGATGAGTTCAATCTTTGGTTGGCAAACAATTTGCTCATCAGCCCCACACCTTTGCAGCTTGTCCTTGGAGCCCCTCCATGCAGTCCTGTCACTGTCGCTTCCTTGCCATAGAAATGACGGGTAAAACACGCTAGACCACAGCACAATATAGACCAACCACTGGCCTGTCTTTATCCATAGTCGCAACATACTTTGCCTTCTGCTAATCGAAACTTGGCCTTCTGCTTTTTTGCTTCCCTCAAAACTTCTCCTGTCTCCTGTGATGCCGCCAGGTAGAAAGATTTTATCTCCTTGGAGGCCAGAGGTGAAATCAAACCAACCTATCAAACCAATGCAATCAACACAACTTCATCCATGTATGCAAATGTAAGATTCCCTGACTCCAGGCCATGTAGATGAAAAAGTCCCGCCAAGTGAGCTCAAATACAAGCCTGTCAGAAAGCAGCCACGTGCATTCACTCATGCCAGCTCCATAAGCAGATGCACAAATCCTTATCTGTGCCAAGTCTCCAGTAGGTGGACTTGTTCTGGATTCTCCTTTCCGTCTCATAGCGCTTCGCCTCCGCAAAAAGTGGTGCGATTCCACCAAGTGTCCTCTTGCCACAGTCGCCTTTATCAAGCTCTTTCGTACATATTCATATTCCCTTCTCCAGTTTCAATTTGGTTCTTTCATCACAGCTGTGGCAGAACCCGCCTCAGCCCAAATGCGGCGCGGGGAAATGCAGCCGAGGGCCAGCCAAGGACTGAGCTTGGACGAGAAGCCTTCACCCAGCATGCCATTCCTGAAAAAAAAAGAACGGGCAGAAAATCGCTTTCATGGATCCAATAATTCACCGGTCTTTTTGCTTGTTTTCACCAGCTGGGTGGATCTGGCACGGTGTCCAGCCGAACAGCTTGTTTGAAAGTAAAAAACCACCAGGTGAGGAGGACCCAAGTGGCCGAATGTCAAAGTAATCTTTCAGGTGGTTATCATCGAACATCCACTTTTGCAGCCTGGCCAAAGCCTCGGCGAAGGACGAGAAAGCAGACGAGGGAACCCTGTTCCGACGTAGGGACGCCGACGTAGGAATGCCCATATTCTCCAAGACAGACGCCAAAGCCAAAGCAAGAAAGCAAGAAAGCAAGCTGGCAGTTGGATCTTTGGGGGAGTTGATCCAAAAGCTGGAAGGAACATCATGATTTCAATGACCGCCCGCATGTGATTGGCTTGGGAAGGGCAGCATGCTCGTTCTCTGGGACTCCCTGACTGCATCCTCTCCGCCTTGAAAGGGCAGCACGCCTCGAGTCAGTCCCGTGCTCCGTGCTCTTCCTCCGTGTCTTCACCGGTTTGGCCCGTTTGGACGCAGAAAGGCCGGGAGAATGATGCGTGGGACCGGCGTGGTCGTTTGGCTCATTGCCGGTGTTTTTCCAAGGAGTGCATGCTGGGAATGGTCGGGAATGTAATGGTCACACACGCCCATTCGTCGGTACCAAAAGCATAGTGCTTCTATTGGGGGAATGGCAAAGGTCTCCAGTCGGGCCTCTGGGATCATCGCGTAGAGCTTCTTCCACTTCTTCATTCTCATAGCCCAGTTGCTGAAGCGTGGGAAGAAAGCCTTAGATTAGATCTTCGGAAAAAACATCACATGTCAACAAAAGAGATCGAACGCAAATGGAACAGAACTTCTGATCTTTGCATCTTCGACTCTGAAAAAACTCTTTCTCTTTTTTCCAGCTTCAGAGCCCAGACACTCAGTGCCTCCTTCAGTTCTCCCAAGTTGGGCACTGGCGGCAACTGCTTTGGCGCACTCACAGGCGCACGGATGTGTCCCCGGCCTTCGGCCTGGCCAGGCATGTGCGAGGCAAGCCAGACCCCCAACGGCTAGCCAGACCCGTTGGGGTTCCGTGGGCTCCGTTGGGCGACCCGGGGTCTCTCTATTGAAAAACACACGGTCCGCATGTGCTTCACCACGTCCTTTGCCACTTGAGGACAGGTATCTTTGGCCTTTCTTTGGCAAGAAAGGAAAAGGCTAAGCTCGATTGCCAATCGCTCGCTTCTTCATTCTCCTCCAAATAAGTGGAAACTGCATGTAAGCCCTTTCTCCTGTCCGGCCTTGTTCTTGAAGGATGTGAACAGCAAGGGCGTGCTGGCAGGGTTCTGCCCGCACTCCTATTGAAATGAATCAAGTTCTTCAATCCTTCCATCTCTCAGCAAGAACGAAAAATGAGTGATGATAGATGACATCTTTCTTCGGGCGGATGACTGATCAAATCGTCCAAACTATCGTGTCTGTCTTTGTGACGAAGACGCCAAAATTGTCCTTCAAACGATATGACTGTTCAAGTATCGTTGGATCAATCCAGCCGCTAGCCTCGGGCATGTAAAGTGTGCCACCCCAAACCGATCGTAGCTCAGCACCCGCTTTCAAGCGCTTGGACACCAAATGCTCCTGTGAGAGGTCGAGGATTGGTGGCTTGAAGGGGTTGGTGGCTTCTAGACTCTTCAAGTATCGCATACAGTGTAGAAGGTCTCCCCAAGAGTGTGCGATCCCCCAAGCAATTGAAGCAAACCGGACCGCTGACACCGGTGAACTCTGCTGTGGTACCACACGGAACTGCGGCACATCGGGGGTGCATCGTGCGGAGGGGACCCGGTCACGTCCAACAGGAGAGCCCCAGGAGAACTCGCTGCCAGTCCTCTTGCTGTTCTTCACTGCAGAAGCCCTGAAGGCCGAGCCAGTCAGCTATGGGGTTTTCTTGCATAAAGGTGGCCCCAAACAAGCGAGGTCCCACAAAGGCGCAATGTTTGACCAAAACCGTGTAAAGTAGAAACTTTAGGTTTCTTGTTAGCATGACTGACACCATGCAGAGTGACAGTGGCACTGACAGTCACATCGTGGAGGGTGATAGATAGTGACAGTCTGAATTCCCACAAAAGAGGCTGTGCTGCAACTAAGGCACTTTCGTGACAGTAACGCTGGCACAGCTCTCAGCAAGCTTCGGAATCACCTGAAGCATCTCAAGATTGCTCAAGACTCAAGACTCAAGAGGGACATCTAGCTTGAACCCAGTCAAGCTTTTGCTACAAGAAAGCAGGCAAAAGTGGCTTTCAACTTGATCTTCCTGTAGAAAGATTCCAAATCCCATGATCGGTTTGCTGCTGCCTGGCAGCGGATCCGCCGTTTCTCTGCGCCGTGGAACCCCCGCCTCCTGTGGAGGACCCAGAGCAACAGCGAGTCCAGACCCTCCCTGCTCCAGTTTGTGGCGCAAGCACTGCACACTCTCCACCAGGAAACGAGCACGACGAGCGCTGCTCTTCCGAGCACCTGATGACAACTCCAGACTGGACCACTGGGCCGGAAAGTCCAGACGCAGCCCGCGCCGGCAACCCGGCTATCTAAGGTCGAGCCAGGTTGGGGGAAGAAAACAAGCTGCACTCCCTGCCTGCCAAGGTTGGGGTGTTGAACTTCTCTGGATCAAAGACATAGATCGGCAAGAATGATTGAGCTCCCTCAGTTGCTGCCTCAGGGCACTTGATCCATTGCGTGAAAGAGAAAAGGAGAAACTCTATGGAAGAGGCCTGCTACGCCGTTCGTTGGGTATGTTGAGGATGTAGACCAACTCTGCAACTAGCGTAGAACTCACTCTGGCCGTGCCTTCCTTCGAACTACGACGGTTTTCCTACATCGCTACTCTACGCTGCACGAAGCATCGACCGTGGCCTCTGGGAGTTCTTCGGCCGTCACGTGCCGTCACGGTGCCGTACGTTACGTGGACGCAGATGGTCAACAAAAACCTTCCCTGAATGGTCCGGCTGGGACGTCCGGACGTCTCCCATAGACTTTCTGCTTCCAAACCCAGCCTTCAAAGCCAAGTTGTCATCCAGGCGAAGATCACACCTTCGAAGAAGTCAGGCACTCTAAGACTAAAGGACTTTGATTCAAAACTGCACTCTGCCCCAAGCACATCGCTTCCGCACAGAATGGCTTCTCCAGAGTCATCTTCCGCATGTGCGGAAGGTGTTTGCTGGCGGTCTGACTCTTCCGCGTGGCGCCTGAGCCACCAAGCAGATCCACGGGCGCCGGCACGAGCCATGATGGCAAGCTGCGGCGCGCAGCGTGAGGTTCTTCGGATTGATCAGAGAAGAAAAAGCCAAATGCACCTGGAGTCCTTCGTCCAAAGCACTGGGAGTCCTTCGAACACGTATATGAACCGTCAGTCTGAAGGCTTTGTTCAAAGGAAATCTGATCGGAATCCGGAATTAAGAAAGTGAAGGGGCACAAACTGTGGGACTTGAAAAGCTCTCAAAGGTGCCAGGTAAAGTGGCACCTCTTTCTGCTTGACCGACACTAGCTGCTTGGGCACGCACTTGCACGAGAACACCCACGGTGGAGAGAAGCGGCGCCCATGCTGGCATAGAAACGGATGAATTCAAAATGTGCACTACAGCAGCAAGAGCGTATGTCCTCATGAATCTACAAGCAAAGCCAGAAGATCTGAGCAGTCTGAAAGCCGAATCTGCAAAAAGGTTCTGTGAACAAAACGCAGGGAATGGGGATTTGTTGTGGTTGAGGTTTGGAATCACTAGCAAAACAGCATCTGGCCTTTCTTTTCAGTCTCCGTCACAATCTCACAGACCAGCAGGAAGGTCGCAACTTTATGCTTGACCTTCAAAAGGATGCTGCTTCGCAAGAAGATTTGGAATAGATTGGAAATGGAAGAGCTGCACAGGTGGATGTGGTCAACTTGGGCACGTAAAGCTTTCTACCAGTGAATACGCTCTCTCACTCTCCAATTACTAGCGAAGCCTGTGGAGATGCCAATCCATTCTGGATGATCTGTCCGAGCCTCAAGTGACACTCTGACGAGGACCCTAAGACGGAAGGCTTCTGGCCAAAGTATCTTGGATCTTCCCAAGGCTCTAAGGAGATGACTGCTGCCTCGCTTCCACAATCTGCTCTTTGAGCGTGGGAACACAGTCCTACTGCAAGGAAAAAGAGAAAACACATCATCTTGACGAAAACAAAATGACCCAGGAGTCACATAGGGGTGCCTATTGGAGACATGGCGTGCGCAGAACATGCACTCAGTGGATGGGACCCAAAAAAAGACCAACTCCATGTGACTCCTGGACTAAGCTTCTTCTTGTCTCGTGAAAACTCTCCAGGTCCCACTTCTCGCTCCTTCAAGAGTCGCAGCGCAGACTCACAGCTCTCCACAGAAGTGGCTGTGCTGGTATCTGCCTGGCGCTGGTATCTGTGGCGTGGAGCCTGATGGGTATGGTTTCGTGTGGAGCCCGATTTCTGGACCAGATTGGACAAAGGGTAGTGAAGTGTCGATCGAACCAAACAAATGCCTCATAGGCGGTCTTCATTCTGAGCAAAAACAGACATCAGGAACAGAAGGAGACACACAAATGTCTAACAGACAAGCCAAGGGCCAAACTCCAAAACAACAAAATACCCGTGGGAGCACACGTCTGTTATCCTTCTTCCACAGCTGCTTCCTTCGGCATCACTTTCTGTCAGCTTGCGCGGGATCTTTGGGGCCCCGCCATTCTGAAGACCTGTGGCAGCAAGGCAGGCCTTGATGCTTGCAGACGGCTGAAGACGATCCAATGCCTTCGTCCAAACCGTAGAAAAACCGTTTCTCAACTGTCCAGTCACATCGTCACAAGATACCAGCAGCAAGCCAGCAGCAGACCAGCAGCAAACCAGCAACAGAACAACAGCAAAACAGCAGCAAACCAGCAACAGACCACCAAGCAGCAGCTGCAGCACCAAGCAGCAGCAGCAGCAGCAGCAAAGCTCCGAACCAAACTCATCCAGCGGCGTTCGCGGGGCATGAGACCGACACCATCGGGGAAGACATATCCCTCATTGGCCCTGACATCGACCAGCCCCGGCCCCAACAAACTATATAAATATTATATATATTTTGTGGTCATAGACTCGGGTTGTCAAGGATTGTTAAGTATTCTGCCCTCATCCGAATTCCTTTGTTGAGAGAAATGGTTCGTCCGAGGGGCCAGGAAAGATTCGATCCCGGAGGGGAGATGGGGGGGCAAACACTAACGACATTTTGAAAATCCAAAAAAATCAGGTCACTGAGGAGAATGCCGCTCCTAAGCTAAAGCTTATCAAACTCAAGGTTGCCTAGCAACCTTTCGTCACTTGGATACTGGTATCGGGGTATCATTGATACTTGGTTCTGGGCATCATTGATACTTGGATACTGGTATCGGGGTAATCATTGGTACTTGGTTCTGGGTATCGTTGATACTTAGGTTGCTGTTTCATTGATACTAGGTTGTGGGTATCGTTCACACTTGGATACTGGTATCTGGGTATACTTGATACTGGGCTCTGGGTATCGTTGATACTTGGATATCGGTATCTGGGAACCATTGATACTAGGTGGTGGGTATCGTTGACAGTTAGATACTGGTATCTGGGTATCATTGATACTAGGGTTGGGCATCCGCGGAAATTCATGCAATATGTGAAAATTACTCTTGGATGACTCACCCACAAAACATCTCAAGCGCCACATTTTTTTTCATCGATGAAGCTCACATGTATCCTGCATCCCTCAACTTCTGCTGATCCTCTTGAAAGAGCTTGGCGATGAAACGCCAACTATCACTGGCTGTACTCCTCAGGACCCAGTCTGCTGGCTCCTCACGAAGAAGCTTCAACGCCATGTTGGTCTCTTCGTCGCTCTCTGGGAGATACCCCATGGGTCCTGCCTCTGCCACCTTGAGGAGATAGTCCCTTCATCCAATTTCTTTTTTATTGGTTGCACCCTCCGCTTGTACCACTGCTCAACCCGCTTGATGACCGCATCAGTGCCTCTCTGACGTGCCCTGGAGACGTTTTCCAGTATCAAGTCCCAGGGCGGAAGTTGCCCCCTGCGCGGATGTAGTAGTGCTTAATTACCTCGTCCATGTCATCTTCCGCAAGAACCTTCTTCAGCATCCGGAAGTCGTTTCCGTGCTTTGCCACCTCCTTCACCACAAACGTGAAGTCTTCGAAAGGTAGTGGTTGCACCACCACCAGACTTGACATGTCAAACCGTTCTATGATGATGTCGGCCACGGCAGACACGCTGACCTCTAAAATGAACTTGCACGCGGCTATTGTCGTAGGTGATGTTGCGAGCGAAGGCACCGAGGGTGGAAGCAATGTCATCACAGGCATCCTACTAAATTTGTCTCCGCGGCCTTTGGTTGTGAATTGCAGGTACACCTTGACAGCACTGCCTGTTCGGCGCTTGGACGTCTCATTCACCTTTTCCGGCAAAAATTTGACGGGTAATATCGGGGCAAATCTACGGCTTGTAAGGCTTGGGGCAGCGCCTCGTTGAGCTTCAAGTCCTCACCAGGACGAACAGAAATATCAAGAGGAAGCACCCTTTTGCCATTCTTCACATGCTCACACATGAGATTGTTCAGCATGGTTGATTTCCCAATGCCTTGGGAACCACTGACCACCAAGAATGAAGGTGTGCTCAAAGCTTTACGTTGAGGTGAGTTGATGAAGTCCTTGATGTATTCCTCCTCGAGCGGCCGTGCAGGGGCGAGCTCTGTCCTTTCCAGCCTTTGCCCAGCCTTCCTCTCTGCCCTGTTCATGAAGGAGAGCTTGGAGAACCAGCACTACGACGCTCCCTGTGCTCAAGAAAGTCCAACCAATTTTGATGGTCTGCGCCGGAAAAGCCGGGTTGTGTGCGTGCATGACCGCTTGGAAGGACGAACCGGCCTGGCACAAGCCTCACAAAGATGCATCTGCAGAATGTCAAAGAAAAAGGACACTACATCGGTTCAGTCAAATTGTGCCAAACTGGCTTTGGATTGAAGGATGCTTGATATGCAAGACCAAACAGGAACCACAGCGCCTAACCTCAATCAATACATGAATTTGAAGCAAATAATTCGACATCTTTGAAGAACAACTTGGTAGAATTTGAACCTGAACCTACACATAGAAACTCTGACCACCTCAACAATTATCCCCTTCATTCAATCCAAACAACTAAGTGAAAGTTATGACCTAAAACACGCATAACAAGACCCCAGAAAAACGACAAAGGCTCAACACAAACTTTCAAGAGCCAAGAAAATTCGAGGAGAAATGATGAACCAAAACTACCCACACCCCCCATTTTACAATTTTTTGGGGGGTCGCCAAGGTCGATGGAGTCCAAACTGAGGCTCCTGCCAACCAGAAGGGTTCCCTGGTGCCAGACTTCCTCGAGGATCATCCTGAAGCGCCAGACTTCACACAGAAAAGGATTTCCACCGTTCCACTGCCCGAACGACGCGACTCCTGCCGTCGCCCAGGAGTACACGACCGGTGAATACTCCGGGTCCTTGTCGCAAACATACTCCGCCAATTTGGACACCACCTGCAGCTGAGCGAGCTCGGCGCGCGGGGGGAGCGAAAGGCGCGGGGGACGGGTCCACCGGATCCTGGATCCCCACGGGACCCCTGCTCGTGGCTGGGTGGAGAGTCTATTAGGTCCATGCGCCGAAACGACGATCATCTATTAGGCCTTCAATTTCCCAAGATAGCCAAATCACACATCTGCAAGCTGGAAGGTCAAGAGTAGTTTTTCTCCAAGCTTTTGACCAGGTCGTGGACATGGTTGTGGTCGCCAGGCAGTGGTAACATGGTCAACACACTCGACGACAACTCGTCGCTCGACTTCCGCCTCGCCAATCTTCTTCTGCATCGCTGAGGATTTCTGCGAGCGCACCGTGCGTTTGGTGCGTGCCAAAGGCTTTCAGAACGCGATTTCTTCACCCCCTCCATCCCTCAGACTCGTTCGACTCGTTCGACTCGGCCGTTCCAAGGAACTGCCAGGAACCGTTCTCCAAAGCATTTGAGGACATGAAAATCTGCGCATGGCTCCTCCTGCTCATATCGCCGCAGGAGCTCATTGGCAACCTCACCAGAGAAGGAAAAGAATTCAGTCTCAACCGCTGCAGCGCATTTCTCTTGGCAAACACAAATCGTCAAGCACTCTGTTGACTTCTGGCAGCTAGCAGCTCTACCAAACCAGCCTCCTGCTTGTGAGCGTCAGATATCCTTTTCCACAGAAATTCGAACTGTCAAAACAGTTCTGCACCAGTTGTCAAATGCAAAAGCCCTTTGTCAGCTTCTCTTGTACCCGCTGATTCAAAATCCCTGGCATCTTTGGAAAACCGACCAGTCCTGGCGTACACAAAATCCTTCTCAGACCCCCGGGTGACCAGCTGCCGAAGGAGCACGCAATCGTGCCTTCACTGCACATCCAGAGAAACCCCCTGGGTGAGACTGAGACCACTTGCTACCAGCAGGGACCAGCCAATCGCAGCTTTCACTCCACCTAAAGGTCCAAAATGGAGATCTTCCTATTGGCGCAACAGCCCAAACCTTTCACAATCCCCTCTACTGGATCCATCCGGAAGACCACTGTTTTCGCCACCTGTTGAAGCACTCCTCGTCAGACCTGATGATTCGGCCTTCGCACACCCTCGTCCACCTCCGGGCTACCCAGGACGGTCCTTAGGAGGTGTCTCACAGGTGCAACGAGGTGGCTACCCGTTCTGAACATGTTTGATTGTACATGTTAACAGCTTCAGATTGGAGTCAAAGAGAGTCTGAAACTGAGATCTTAACATCATTCCAATGATGAGATTGTCTGGCTCATCCTGCTTCGCCTGCTGATACCTCAGCAAAACAGAACGTGCAACCTTCTTCAATAGCAGGATTCACCTAAAAGAGCAGGCCTGTCCACATTCAGAAGAGAAGACTCCAGTTTGTCCACATTCCCAATCAGTTTTGTCCCGCTGAAAGCTTCGTTCGGACACCTTCAGAAGACGAGAAAAGGAACCGAAGAAAACGACTTCGGGGTGAAGAGAGATGGACTCCAGGTGGGTCCAAATATGGACTGGTCAAACGGTCAAACCTGCTGCGAATCCGTTTCGCAGGCTGGGAAAGCCTAAACCCGGAAGGAGCTCCGCGGCTCCGCGGTGTGTGCGCAAAGAAACCAGAAAACACTCGGTTTGGTCCAAAAGCCCGCCTAAACAGGAACGCATGATGCTAGCTTGGTGTTCTTGTGCCGTTGCTGCTGTTGCATGTGCAGAACGAAAGAAACGTCAAAGCCAACCAAGCTGTGATTACAAAGACCTCGTAAGATCCTCCCAAGGGAACGACAAGCAATTTGGGACAAAAGTTTAATTGGGAAGAGCAGGCACTTTGGAGAGAACATTCAAACATGGAAAAAAATTGCAACAAGCAATAATGTCTTGTCTGGAGTTTGTGACAACCCTCGTTAATGGTTGAGAGAAGCAAGCGCGGTTGCGAGAACCAAGTGGATGCGCGTATCCAGAGAAACCAAAAAATGGGATCAAACCAGATGAGAAAGCAGGTCAACAGTGGCCAAACGTAAGATACAGAAGTGCGGAAGCACCATTCAGTAATCAAGCGACAAAATCGTTTGGAAATTTAGAGTTCCAAATGCCTTTGGCACGCGAGGAACGCGACCGAAAACCGAGCATGTTCTGGGTGACTGGTGTTTCCCACGAGGTTCTGGGTGACTGGAAACATCCACAGCATGGCAGTGGCACTGGCGGACTTCGCACGCCTTCGCTTCAGTAAGATCTGCACATGGTTTCTGCTTGCTGTCGAACGGAGTTGTCCGGAGTCTGTAGGCCCTGGTCCGTCCACGGCAACGCCCGTGGACGACTGGTGGAAAAGGGCGGTCAGAAGGGGTGGGAAGAACATGAAGGTTGGGATAGACATGATGGATTGGTGTCATGGAATGTCATGGATATCTTTGGTCAAGTCATGTTTGCCTTAGCTAGCAATACAGCAGTTTGGCAGTGGAAACTGAAATAGTCTCACAATGAATTCACATTCAAGATTTGGTCTTATTCACTGTCCGAGCTGGCTTTTCTCGCTTCGCTTCTCCTCTGTCGAATACACCGACATCCGACCCAAAAACATCGACAAAGTTCAAGGTCGAAACCCTTGTCCATGTCGTTTTTGATAGGATTTAGGGCCATATATGGCCCGTTCCAGGAATAGAGCTAAGGAGGCGCACCTTCAAGAGCTCCACGAACCTCCCTTTGTCGACCATGACCTGCTGCCGTCGAAGCGGGGACACGCGTATACGCGCGACGCGGCGCGTAGCGCTTACCGAAGCGCTGCGTCGCGAAACGAAGCGAAAAGCGAAGCGAAGTGCATGGCCTCTGAAAACCGGTCCACAGTCGCCTGTGGAACCAAAACTGATCTAGATTCCCCTTGAGCAAAGACTTGGTCGACAAAGCATCCATTTGCTGCTTGCAAAGTGCAACCAAAAAGTCTCTCAAGAACACTGCCTTTGTTGCGGTTCCGCATAATTTTTTGTATTTTGTTGAAACAATATGTTGTCAGCCACCTTAGCCCCCTAGCCTGCATGAACAAAGAACTGAGTGATCTCTTCATGCCATAAAACTTTAGAAAGCGACAAATGACTTCAAATTGGACATGGATCATGGAACCTACATAAGAAATGAAATAGTCCTTGCAGCAATGTCAGGTTTTGAGCGATCTCTTTCAATGTCTCATATTCAAAAACCAAAAGAAAAAGTGCAAGGTGCGCGGTTATGGTTATTTTGCATACGTGTTTCCCATTTTTTGTTGTCCTTCATGAGGACCTATGGAAAGGCTCAATTGCTGCCAAGATACCCAACAGAAAAGTGATTTGTTGGGAAAACAATGAAGACATGCAACAAAAATACGTTGCATGTAAAGTAACATGTTCCATATGCAATTAAAACCAAAAATGGTGGACCATCTCGCTCGAAGCATCACAAAGACATGAGCGTGCACCACGTCCGCCATCTCGCGCCCATGATGTTTGGTTGATTATTCATCAAGGCGACATCATGTCGGCATAGCACCACTGAGCCTCCAAACCCACGTTGCCATGTCAAGTGAACAGAAAACAGGTTTAGCCCCATGCGTTCTTTTTGGTGGCTCATTTGTAAGGAGTCAAACCGGCTCCACGATCAACTCTGAACTCAATCATTGGGGGACAAACTTAGCACATAAGTCTGTGTTGTCCAATGAGAACAGGTTCCAGCAAAATATGGGAAAAACCTACATTTAAGTTTTTAAACCCCGTGGACTCAACATGAAAAGTAAACCGTCAACCTCGGCCTTTATTAACATTGATGACAATCTAGCACGCCAGTCAGGCAAAACGAGTTTGTTTGTCATTGTCTCCATGGTAGTTTCCATCGTTCAAAGGCACGCATGTTCCAATGTACACGATTGAAAGCAAAAATGACATGTGTAATAGACTGCAGTGATGTTGCGCCACTTATGTGGCATCCCCCTTCACAACTAAAAACACATACGCAGCTTTACATGCACGTGCAGGTTGCCATTAGTTGAACCTGACTTACAGGAACCGTTCTTTTCAACCACAACTTTGGCACAGACCGACGCACATGCCAAAAATAGAGCAAGATGGAACCCACGAACCCGAATGCACACTTGTAGAAATGCGTACTGACTCGAATGCCGCTCGCCACACGCCCACCTCGGCATGAAAGCCAAAGAAGCCGGGAATAAAGGATGAGAGCCTCCATGAGTCCCAAGATGACAAAAAACTCAAAAGGGAAAACCAAAACTGACCAGCAAGCTCCACACGACGAATGCATTAGCCCTTTAATGCACATATGCCGACCTCTGAAACCTCACCACGTGAAAGATTGACACACAAACTCACGAAAAAAGAACCTTCCTCGCAAGCTCTCAGCGTGAAAAGCTGTCTAAGTCAAGTGTATTGTTAGGCAGCGCGCCTTTTTGACCAAAGCGCTACAGTGCGGCTAGTGATATGAACAGATACTACACATCCAAGTGTACATGTCAATCAACTGGAAAAGTCTAACACGCCGCCTTAAAGTTTTGGCGTCTAAGCCGAACTTTACATGTTTTCCAGACATTGCTATCTTCTAAGCAACCACAAGAATATGTCCGTCTGGATCCCTAGCTATACACTTTGTATAGGTGGTCCCGACACGTTTCGTGTCATTCCAACAAAAGTTCCTTGCAAATTCTAGAACTGCTGCAAACTCAAAATCAAATGCTCAAGCTTTCAACAATCGTAGTGCCACAAGTGATCCTGGTTCAGATGTGTCGGGAATCACTTCCATGCAAACACCGTAGGTTGCTGGTTCAGATGTGTCAGCAAACCTACCCACACGCATTGAAATTGAACATTGTAAAACTCAACAACTGTTCAATGTCCTGTTGATCCACTTGGTTGTTCTGCTTCATTGTCGCTCCCGGAGTCAGATGAATAGTGGCGCAGGTTCATCCACATCTCCGGATCAGATACCTCATCCAGTGTGCTGTTAAGGTATCGTCCAACTCTGGTGTCCTCACTTTCGCTGTCTGGGATCTCGCTCTCTTCATTCTCATCTTCATCTCTGTCAGGTCTAGCCATAGCTTTCGCCGCCTCACTTGAAACTTCCAAGCTTCTGCAGGGAACACGACTTTGGCTAAAGTAGCCGTCATCCTCCTCCATGTTGTTCACAAAACTTTCCATCATCTCTGTAGGTTCAGCTCCTGGTTCAGGAAGCTCTGGTACTTCGGGTGCTTGTGGACTGTCTTCATCAACCGACAAACCTGGCAAAACTGATGTGCTCTGCGTCTTGCCATCTCACCTGGGCGCTGTTCCAAGATCATTAGTCGATCTCAGAATCTCTCTTCGCTTCTCGTACTTCTTTCTCTCTTGCTCTGTCATCCTTCCAGCTCTTCTTTCGATCCTTCTTTCCACTCTACCCAGCATCCGGTATGTGAACCATTCTGGTGACCAGGGTGCCCATCTTTCCGGCGGGTCTATTGGCACTATTGGCATGGGAACAACGGAGGACGAGGTTCCACATTGCCTGTTGAAGTCATGGGTTCAGCTGTACTGCTTGGGCGGGGCTCAATATTGTCATTGCCAACCACTCGTCTTTCGACCTCTGGTTCTGGCTCTTCTTCATCTCTTTCACTCCGTCTCCTCTTCCGGCCTCGTGGGCCAAATCTCGCAACAAGCTCACTCCAATTGTTGTATACCCAATTGCACAACGCAACAAGCATCAACACAAGCAAGGTCAAGTAAAACTGCTGCCGGTTGTCATTTTCGACACCCCCATTGGATTCATGCTCCATGCATCCTTTCAAGCTCATAGCCTGTACCATCATGGCGCATTGCACAAACATCCTATTGGATCTGCTTCTTGTCCAACGTGCAACTTGTCTCACCTGATTCTTCCATTGTTGCTCAACAAGATATGCGGCTTGCTCATCTTCTCCAACCTTCTCCACAATTCGATGATTCTCACTCAACTTGATTGCACCTAGGAAGGAAAGTAGAAATCGCCGCCTCATTGCTGTCAGCTTCTTGGTGTTTAGATCTGAGATGTTGGTATGTGTGGGAACTGGTAACGCTTTCAGCGCTTTGCTACGGACAGCTTCTTGCAACCAACAAAGCCGAACGTCAATGTGTTTCAGCCGACCTACGCCTGACCGTTGTAACCACTGACGGCCGCTTGATGAATCGCTGCAGGCCTCCAACACAATCTCGCGCTCACTTCCTGCCATGAACTGCCAAACTTCTCTCAATAGAATGGCCTCACTCGATCCTGAAGTTAGCGAAAGCACTTCAGCTTCGCATGAACTCAATGCCACAGCTTTCTGGGTCCTACTGTAAGAAAGTACCACTAGGTGCATTGTTCGGGATCTTTGCCATGCTTGTTCCAACTTCTTGTGTGTATGGCAACCAAAATGACATGTCTCTCGTTCCCTTGAGATACAAAATCAACTGTTGCAAGCATCTTTCCGACTGTTCTGTAGGGTTTCTCATCGATGATGCCAGGGACCTTACGCGATATTGGATATCCAACCGATCTTGTGATAGATACATTGCAATCCCCAGCCAACAACGACTGCCCATGGACATCCAACTCTGGTGATGTGTCCGGATGTCCCAACAAACAATGTTCTGGCACCTGCTTTTCCTTTCTGTTCCCCAAGTTGTATATCTTCAGCAAATTCTCGATGTATTTGGGGTTCGACTTTATGCAAATGCCATCCTCCAGGAAATTATATGTTTTCTTCAGACAACTGATCTCTTCGCCTGCTCCCAGAGGACCTTTCGGTACGGGGCCTTCTATCTGCAGCTTGTAGATCTCCTTCAATTCTTCAACGACCCACAACAAATCAGATTCACTCTCGCTTGCAATCAGCTCATCATCAACATGAACATTGATCACCACACGCTTTGTACCATGCTTCAAAACTGACGGCATTGCGACACAACATTTGAATCCCAGCCTTTGTAGATGGTTTGGGAAGTTCTGGAACCAACGCTGTGCTCCATTTCTCTGACCGGGAAGTACTCTTCGCAACTGCCACAACATGTCCTGAGACAAACCCAAAAGCTGCTTAATCCAACCTGAAATCTTCACATAGCAAACCTCTTGTTCAACTGTCAAATAGGCATCACTGATGTCGAGGCTTGCAAGTTTCCAACCGTAAAAGAGGTGTAGCATCAGGAAAAATCTCACCACTGCAAATGAACTAGTAGGGGAGAATGTTGAAGGGCCAGTCCTGAACTCCCTTGCCACAATGTGGCATCTCCGTTTCCATCTGCCCTCTCTATATCGCCAATCGAAAACTTCTTTCAGATCTACAAACTTTCCTTCTGGCAACATCTCATGCTCTCGGATCACCTGCACAACTCCCAGGTTCGTAAGCTTTTCAACTTCCCCCTTCATTGCCTCTCCATCCAACTGAGCCAGTTCTTCTGCTGAAATTTCGGGAGGCTTCTCACCAGCAAAATCCTGTTCATCCAGTCCTTCCATCTCCATCTCAACGGCCTCCCAATCAATCTCCTTCTCCCACTCAATGTCACCATGTGGCTGAGCAACCTCTTCAACTTGTCCAGCATGCAAAGGTGCGTACAGCCCTGCAGATGACGGGTTTCCTTCTCTGTCCAACCTCGCAGACTTGTGTTCACGATGCTCATCTGGATTCATGCTCTCTCTTCTCTCTACCATGTGGACAACTCTATAGCCACTTCTCCTGGTGGGGTCGTCT